GACTTCCCTCCAGCCGGCAGGCACCCGGGACCCGGGACCCAGGCTTCCCTGCCCACCTGCCACAGCCCACAGGTTGGTCGCAGCTTGCCTTGGCCCTCCCAGCTGTGGCGGCTTGCTTCGGCCCTTGCAGCCCCAGCTTCCTCCAGAAGGTTGTCCAGAAGGAGGTCCGGTCTAATTAGCATATTACGCTTTTATTATTATAGATGTATGCATGTATGTGTATATGTGTGTGTGTGTGTGTTTAATTTGTGTGTGTGTGTGTTTAATTTATTGCCTCTCTCTTCCTTGAGATTTTGTGGTACGCAGAATTTCGAAAATGTCCTTCTACAGATGTTCTGCTGTAATCCCTGTAACCTGTGAATGTGATGAGATATTGCTCCCACAGTTATGGTCTGTTATATGGCACAGTTGACTTTAAAATAGGGAGATTATCCCAGTCTAAGCCCATGATCCCTTAAGAGCAGTGAGCGTTCTCTGGCTAAAGAAGAGGGGAAAGCCAGAAGGATTCAAAACATGAGGATCCAAAACATGAAGGTGGAAGGGGCCATGTGAGAAGGAATGTGAGAAGGGGCCTCTAGGCGCAATGAGCAGCCTTCAAATGACAGCCAAAACGGAAACAGGATGCTCAGACCCACAATTGCAGAGAAGTGGATTTTGCCAATGACCTGAATGAGCTTGGAAGGTGATTCTACACCCTCCCCTCCCCCAACCTCCACATGGAATCCTAGCTCAGCTGACATTTTGATTTTGGCCTTGGGAGACTGAGCTGAGAAGCCAGGCCAGCCCATCAGGACTGCTAACCTACAGAGCTGTGAGATAATAAATGGGTGTTGTTTTAAGCTGTTAAGATTGTGGTAATTTGTTACATAGCAATGGAGAAGGAATACAGATATCAATGGAGATGTCTAATGAATTGCATTGCACACTCTTTGTTTCTGGCTAAGAGGTCAAGCCTAGAGTCCCAAACATCAGGCAGAACGTAGATCCGGTGGAGGTGAGGGATAAGGCAACTGGTTGAGTCAACTTAGGCTGGGCCTGGAGATGACTGAGGGAGGAAGAAAAATCTGGAAATATTCTGCTGTCATTTGTATGGCTGCTCCTTCCTGACTCTAACGTCAAAATTCCCTGATTTATTTGTCATTGGTTTTGATTTATGAGAACTTCACTGAATCTGTGTATATTCAGTTACAGACCAAGATTAAAAGTGGAGCTAGAGAGGCGCTGCTCCTGCCAAAAGCAGAAGCAGTAGAGGAATATATAAGCAGATAATTCTTCATCTGTTATAACTGAATATTGGTAGCAAGGTATGTTTCAAGTTTAAACTTTAAAAGTTTACATTATGTGGAGATCACACCATGTGGTGGTGGCTTTGCCATGTGAGAATAATAGAGATCAGACCAGTGTTTCTCAATCCTTTTTTCATTATTGCCCCCTAAGGAGTTTATAGACTTTTTCCCCTTAATCACCCCCGCCATGCCATGAGATTTGAATACTACATATATACTGTATATTAGTTTATGTACTGTATGTATATCAAAACCAAGTTTCATCCTTGGGTTGGTATCACCCCTCCCGAGAATGCCCAGCAAAGATGCTAATGTGATTAGGTAAATTTAAGATTGTGTTTAAAGGATCATCAAAAAAAGGTATTTTCGTATTGTAATCCAGAGATTACAGGACTAGAGAACTGGCCCAAACTCAAGTTAGCAAAAAGAGATGTAACATCTAGGTATCTTAGTTCAAGAGTCCCTCTGGGAAAGTAAACCCAGGAAGCGCTGCCAAATCTTTATAGCATTTGAGTCATGATTAGATCCTTGCTCTAAGTAATAAGAATCACTTTAGCACATTTCTACATTATTCGCTTTGTTCATGATTGCAGGAGACCTGGAGTCCTTGAGTGAGGCAGTTTTGCTTTGGAAATGACTATCCTGTCCCAAAAAGGTAGAGGCAAGGTGCCGGAGTCTATTTTGGCATCCTCATCTTTCCCCCCAACGGTTAAATATGACAGTCCTTTTTCTTTCTCTTCGACAGAGTGAGCTGTAGCCTATAGGATCACAGGGTTGTAAACTCAAATGCCTACAAGGGCCAGACGCGTAATAGAAAAGCGTAAACAGTGAAGTGTAAGACATAATTGTTTTGTTGGTCAGTTTTGGTTGCTTACACTCTTACTGCAACAGCCAAGTTTGCTTTTCTTGCTCATGGGTCTGCAGGCGGTCAAGGTGGCCTCCCTCAGCTGCGGAAGGGTCAGGTCAACTCCGTGTACAACAGTAGCAGCAGCAGGAACACTAGGGAGAGATTTCTAATTGGCGTTCCTTGACTGTAGTGTTTTGAACGGCAGGATAATCATGTGTCTGCAGGAATTTAGCATATGTGGTTGATTGCATTATAGTTCCCAATTTTTCACTTACTCACTGATTTGACATCTTTCTCCGTAAAGGTTTTGTAGAGTCTTTCACGTGTTAATTGAGTGTTGAATGATTATAACCGTTGATACTGTTCAATTTTTTTTTTAGATGTGAAACTTGGGGCCCTTGTCATTTCCATGTCCTCTTGCCTTTTTTTCGGATTTGTTCCCCTGCCTTCTCTTTTCCCCTCCCTTCCCATTTACTAAAAAAACAGCAGTTGTCAATATGAAATAAGAGGAACTGGTGGAGAGAACCCAAGATATAAAACCTTCCACATGTTGGTGTAAAGTAATTTAAGATCGATGTTTCTTTTACAAGACAAAGTGCTACCTGGCCTTTCTGAGCTTTTTGTTGGTTTTAGGATTTAGAGGGTTCATTATTTTTAAAATGAATTCTGTAGGTCTGAAGACCTAATCATATTTCTACAAAATTGTAGAGCAAATGGAGACAAATAGTTAGACCCTGGGGATTTGGGAGTGGTCATTAAAAAAAAAAAAGTTTCCATTTGCTTTTTCCTCAGATCAGAAGCAGGCAGTCCTTAAATTGTCTTCTGTAAAGTATTGGGCTTTAGGCTGCCCCCATCTTGAATGTGGGAAGAACAAACATGGTTAAGAGTTTGGGTCCTAACAGGTCTGGGTTTCACGTTCATCTCAACCATTTAATCTCAGTTAAGATTAAAATGACTAGGCTTCATTTTTACGTTAGTACAGTTAGACTTCTTTACTTGGGAATAATTCTCTTTCCTCTTTAAATCAATGAATAAGTCAATTATTAAACCACTTGTTAATCCTTTGTATTTGGTATTTGAGTGGTCTTCGCAACTGGTTATTTCCTCTCAGTTCTTTTGCATTTCTCAGGCAGGTTGGAAACGCAGGCTCTAACTATCTGAAGCTAATTGTACTTTACTGGTGTCTTCTGTGTGTAAACGTTGTATTCATTTTGAGTTTCCAAGAAGCAAATAACTTAGACTATTCTGGTTTGGCATGTTCTCTCTCTCTAACCACATTGGAGCTGAACCTGGGAACAGAACACAACTTGAAATTTTGTGGTTTGGCTGCTAGAATTTGGAGCTAAACTATCTGAAGCTAAAAATTATTAATGTTGAAATGTTTTAACCTACTAAGTAAACCTGAAAAATAATGAAATTTAATTTTTATCTGGATGTCAGATGTGTGACAGTGCTTGGAAATGATATCAGTGTTGTTAATTTTATATAAAGCTGACTGGTAACGCATGGAATTTCTATAGTACTCTGTAATGAGATGGGGCGTGACCATAAAGTTCATTTGAATTATGAGAGCTTCTTTGGTTATCTCCCAGCAAAGATTGTAAAAGAGCTGTTGAATTTAAAGATGGGCAAATTTTTTTTTTTAATGAAAAGGTGATATGTCAAATTTGCCCACTTTTTCTTATGACCAGTGGCTACGTTACATGCTTCATAGCAGATTAAAAACCAACCAGCCAACCAACGAAACACTCTTACTCCATCCCTAAAGTGATGTTTCAACAATAAGTGAGATAGTAATAGCCTTTTTAAAGATAGAAATTAAATTGCAGAGAGACTGTTTTTTGTCATTGCTTGGAAATGTTTCTTTTGTAATGTGATTTTTGTTGTCAGAGATATGCGTGTCTAATGAAAACTTTGCCATCTGCACACTGTAAAAAACTTATAACAATATTTTTTATACTGTTGAAAATCTTCCAAATAGTTTCAGTTGATTTCTAAACCAATTGTTAAAAATGCAATATCTTTTGATTAGTTTGTAAGAACATTGATAGGAGGGAAGACAGACATTTATTAGCCAAAATTCAACAAGAACTAACTAATGGAATTTATTGAAAAATAAAAATACTGACTTAGTAAGTACAACAATGACATACTACTTTAATTTCAGTCCTTGCATATTTGCAATCAAGCCCTTCCCTACTATACAGCCATTACAATTAAGTACTGAAATAAGCAGAACTTAGGTCCTGACATTTCAATCACTGAATTACAAAATATTTAAGTCAATATTTAAAAAAGTAGAGGCCTGATGCACGAAATTTGTGCAAGAGTAGGCCTTCCTTCCCCCAGCAGCCAGCACTGGCTTCCCTCTGGTACCCGGGACCCGGGCTTCCCTCCAGCTGCTGGCAGGCACCGGGACCAGGGCTTCCCTCTGGCCGCTGGCAGGCACCTGGGACCCGGGCTTCCCTCACAGTCCTGGCTTTGTCTGGAAGGTCGTCTGGAAGGACGTCTGGTCTAGTTGGCATATTACGCTTTTATTATTATAGATAATATAATTTCATTATCATTCCTCCACTGAAAATATTAATTTTTTTATGAGAGTGAAAAGACCTAAGCAACTGTTGGCAGCAAGACAGCACCAGGTGTTAGACCGATGGAGTCAGACCAGATCTTGGTACTTGAGTTCTGGCTAAGAAAGAATTCAGAGTTAAGACTCAAACTACAAGAGAACCAGTCCAGATGCATTGGGGAGAAGTTAATTCATTATATACAGTGGACATCTCTGGCAATCCAGATTAGTTGTACTATGTTTGTGGCAAGTTCTTAAAGGAGTTTGCTTGTGATTACAGATATTTTTTTTTTTTTAGATTACAGGTCCACCAGGTTGTGGGAAAACTCAATTTTGTATAATGATGAGTGTTTTGGCCACATTACCCACCAACATGGGAGGATTAGAAGGAGCTGTTGTGTACATTGACACAGAATCAGCATTTAGTGCTGAAAGGTAGGAGATTTTATTATTTTCCACTATAATACTTCAGTTTTGTAACATATATTAGCATATAACATTTGTAAACAGGTTGACATTTACTTCTTTTTTTTTGAGAACACAGAATTTAGACACTGTTTTAAAGGAATTGTCCTTTTACCATTGATGGAGCAGTTTCCTTTTACCTTTTCTATCCCTTTATTGGTTTAAGTGGGGTTCTGGGATAAGGTGTGTTTTGCAGAAAGTCAGGAAGAAAGAAGTTCAGAAAGAGGGAGAAATATAAGTGGGAAATGGGGACGAGGGAAAATTAATAAGAAAGACAGGTAAGCTGCTTTGTAACTAATTTCTAGTTGGAAGTAAAATATTAGTGAATGGAAACATTGCAAATTTCAAAACATTTTTTTGATTGAGAAGTATTTCACGTTAGCCTTTGAAATAGTATGGCATTCACTGTAAGAAACACACTGATAGTAAGTGCATCTTTGCTTGGAAAGAAAAGATTTACTTAGTTGGGAAAGGACCTTTAACATTCCACGAGAGAGACACTTAGTCATGTGTGTATTTCTACACACCTGAACGTAAGTCTGGTCCTCATCTTTCCTTGCTCTAGTTGATAGTCATGAGCAGGAGTTCTTGTCCATCTAGACCAGTGATGGCGAACCTTTTGAGCTCGGCGTGTCAGCATTTTGGAAAACCCTAACTTAACTCTGGTGCCGTGTCACATATAGAATTTTTTTGATATTTGCAACCATAGTAAAACAAAGATTTATATTTTTGATATTTATTTTATATACTTAAATGCCATTTAACAAAGAAAAATCAACCAAAAAAAATGAGTTCATAGGTTCGCCATCACTGCTCTAGAGATTGATTCTATTCTGTTCTCTTGGTCAAGTTATATTATAGGTATAGTGAGTCTTTCTCTCACTATGTTATTGGGAATCAGATCTCTTTCTTATTTCTCTCAAGGAATACTATTTAAATCAAAACGTATTCCCTGACCAGATATGTTCCAAATGGTTTATTTTGATTAGAGTTTATTTGCTTTGTTTTACATCTCTTGGGTATCTATTCTTTGTACTAGTAAGTATATACCACAGGTTTGTCAGCAATTTGTTTTGTTCCTGAAGTATCAGCGTGAAAGGGTTGTCAGGTTGAAAACTGAAATTTTGGTTGACAACCAAGAAGTTTTGGTGAACAATTTGGTTGAGACGGGAGACGTTCGAGAAATGAGGTTTCACTGTATATTTTAGCCAGGTCGGTGTGGATTCTGGCCTGAGTTGCGGGCTTGAACATCAGTAAAGAGCATGCAGGAAGCAGCCCATAGGTTTTTCTATCTCTCTCTCCCCGTCCCTTCCTCTCTCTTCCTCTCTCTAAAGTCAATTTAAAAAACATATTTTTAAAAGCTGAGTCTTAGTACTACAAATAGACATGTGAGGAACACTGAGGGAAGTGGGGAAGGAAGAGATGGGACCCAGGACCCTGGAAGGGGACACAGGGAGGTAGGATATAGAATCAGAATATTATGAAGTAGAAGTAGACATTCTTGAGTTGTCATGAAATCAGAAAAGCTTTGAAAAATAGGAAGAAGATGTAGCCCAAAACGGGAAGAAGCCAATCAAATAATCACAAAAATGTAAAATTGTAAGTCATAACTAGGTATACACAGGAGAGGTATGTGTTGTATTGGTGCTGTGTGGAAGCCATGGCCATGCTTAGGTCTGAAGGAGTTGCTGTACTTAGTATGCATGTCACTTCTGAGGGTGTCAGGTACCCCAAAGCCAGTGCCCTTTATTATTTATTTATTTAAAAATATATTTTCATTGATTTCAGAGAGGAAGGGAGAAGGAAAGAGAGATAGAAACATCAATGAGAGAGAATTATTGATTGGCTGCCTCTCGCCCACCCCCTACAGGGGATTGAGCCCATAACTCGAGCATGTGCCCTGACCGGGAATCGAACTGTGACCTTCTGGTTCATAGGCTGATGCTCAACCACTAAGCCACACCGGTTGGACAAGCCAGCCCCTTTAATTCCTGCCAGACTATGTAAAGTGTCACTTTTTCTGAATCAGTGTATCAAGAGGGAGGCATAGAGGGGTAGTGGCCAGCCATAACTTTGGCTGATTTTGAAGGCAGTACTAGTGTGGTCTTAGTCACCTATTTGCTAGTTGGTACAAATCCAGGATCTTTGAGTAGGAGGCAAATAGGGGAGATAAATTCCCTTGCCATTTTTTTTAGATGGTTTCATGAATCTGGCTAGGTTCTCCTTAGTCCAACTTCAGCTGCCTTATCATTTGTGAATCTAGGTGAATTGGTAGGAAGGGAGATCATGAAGAGTTTCTAGGATAGAAGACGGAAATTAGTTTTACGTACTTACTATTACTAAAACAGAACTTTGGAATTTGCTGGAATCTGTAAGGTACTAATAGATTCACATGATTATGTTTAGTAATCTCACAATGCTGAACAAGAACATATTAAATAATGAACAGGAAAATATTACATATGTACAAGAAGCTTTGAAAAACCATGAACTTGTATTTCAGCACAATAAAAGGACTTTTTTTTTCCATCAAGAATATGTTTTATTTCAAGTTGGCATGTGGTCACTAATATAAAACTTAAAATAATTATTTTTATTATTTTCTTAAATCCTCACCCGAGGATATTTTCCCATTGATTTTTAGAAAATGTGGAAGAGAGAGAGAAAGACAGAGAGAAATATCAATGTGAGAGAAACACATCTATTGGTTTGTACCCCGACCAGGGCCTAGGCTGGGGGGGGCCTGTAACAGGTATGTGCCCTTGACCGGAATCGAGCGTGGGACCCTTTAGTCCGCAGGCCAATGCTCTATCCACTGAGCCAAACTGGCTAGGGCTAAAGCTTTTAACTTTCCATTTATACAAGAGCTGTGAAGTAACAAGGAAATAATGACAAAAACCTTGATTCGAATCCATTGTTCTTCCAGATGCTGACCAGTTAGTCTAGAAATCTACTCAGCTTCTCTTTTGAACTGTATCTTGGGTTCAGTTACTTCTAATCACGTGAGCTATTCTCTAGTTCAAGACCCCATCTGGATTACTGCACTTGCTGATCTTACTTGCACCCTTGCCCATCTACAGCCTCTTCTTCATTTGGTATTTAGAGTGCTTCTTTATAAAGAAAAGAAGTCCGGCTATGTTTGTCCTGCTCCTAGGCTTTTACTAAATAAAATCCAAATAAAACCCACAGACCCAAGGATCTTGTGTGTTTCGCTCCCTGGCTAGCCCTCTGACCTTATTTCTTTTTATTCTCCCTCTTGCTTTCTGTGTTTCAGCTACGTTAGCCTCCTTGTTATTTTCAAATGCCCCAGGCATCTTCTTACACTGGGCTTTGCACTTATCATTCTCTCTTCCTATGCACTGTTCCACTGGACAGCCACATGGTTCATTTTTTTTTTGTCTCCCTTAAACCTTTGCTCAAATGTCACCTTATTAAAGAGGTTTTCCCAGACCACTTTACATAAAATGTCACCTGCTTCCATCTGTCACAGCCCGTTCTCTTAAAATTGGTTCACTTTTCTTTAGAGCATTTATTATCTGACGCATTTTATACTATATTTCTTTGTTTCTCTCAGTAGAATGTAAGTTCCACAAGGGAAGGATTTTTTGTTTTGTTTTTGTTCATTGCCATATCGTTAGCACTAGAACAGTGCCTGGCATACAATATAGTAAGTCCTCAATAAATGTTTGTTGAATGAATGAATCTAAGTGCATTCTTTGAAAGATGTCCACTAGATGGCATTGTTTTCAAACTTTATGTAATTAATGTCTGGAGCAAAAGATGGGTTCTTTTCTGTTGCTTGCTCCAAACAAAACAGATCTTTGTTATGAAGATTGTCATGACAAATTGCTATGATTAATGTGAGGCGTATATATTTTTGCATTTATATTTTTGATTTATATATTTTTAAAAATCTTTTCTAAAATTAAAAAAAATCACTTAGAGAAACTTAAAGAAAATCACAGCATACTGGTATGTAAATAACCATTTGATACAATTGTTTAGTCTGATAACTATGGTTATTATTTTTATCTCTGTGCACAATTCCTAAGTTTTTCAGGCTTATTGACCCTAAGTTAGTCTCTAAGCTCATTAAGCTTGACCTTAAAGGCACCACCGCCATCCCACTTACACCTTCTGGCTAAAACCCTGTATGATTTTATTTCCCTCCTGCCATCTCCAGTGGTTATTGAAGTCAGTAAGGCTCTTTTAGTTTATTTCCTACTAAACCAGATAAATTGTGCATTTTTAGGATGGAAAGAAAGAAAATACTCCTATTGCCTAGTAATGGAGTACCTGCTATATTTAATGTCCAGAAGTAAATTTTATCATTAGCAAGAACTGTGGCTTCTATATTTCATGGTGTTAGTGATATTGCCCCTAACTCCACTCTCCACCAAAGTATCAGGGAAAGAAGAGAGCGTAACTATGAATAAAGTTAGCTCATGTCCATGCCATGGCCACTTTCCTTCTGAGGGACGTTAATGGAATGAACGAGCAGTAAGGAGTTCCAGAGCCACTAGTTGAAATCCAGTCTAATGTTGGAGGCAGAGAATTACTGTCTGTCAGCTGTTCACTTGTTGCCAATGAGTTAGGTACTCTCAGTCTGGTTTCTCATCAACTGCGCATTCAAATTTTGAAAAACTTCTATGTTTCAGATGGATGTTGTCATTTCTATCCTGTTAAAATTAAGTGGGTTCCAAGTACCAGAGCTTTTTAGCTGATTTCTCTGACTAGCACTAAATTCAATAAATAATTGTCCTAATAAAAATATTTATACATTTCCCAAACCCTCAAAACATTTTCTAATGCCATCTTATTTCTTCTTACTTTTATCATTTACCTTATTTAAAAAAAATTTTCAAATTCCTATGCCTTTCTTAGGAACTTCTCTTGAATGGTCATTTGATCCATTTTGTTCTCACTCTTTACACATCTTTTAGTACTCTTCCTTACTCCTAAAATAATTTTTCCTCTTCCTGTTCAACCTAATGTGTTTTTTCTTTTCAAATTGTTCAAAGTATGCTTTAAAAATGTTATTGACTAGATTTCTTTAATGTTTCTTCCTGTTTTAGATTTTTCTCTTTCATTTCTGATTATAGCATATGTGAGGAACTTATTTTGTTTATCTATTTAAAGTTCTCAGCTTCTTCTTGGAACTCATTAACTGTCTAATAATGAAAAAATACTGTTCTTTTGTACTTTGTGTCTTTAAATGGAACATAAAATATAGGATCGTTTTTGTGTTTCTAGGCCTTCTTCCCAGTCACCCTTGGATGATAGTTAAGTATGGGGCTAATAAAGTATCATTTAAAATAGGAGACAGTTATACTCTAAGGTTTATATTTTTAATCAGAAATTTCTAGTGCTGCTCTCCATGTCTTGTACTATTAATGGAAGTAGTTGCATCTGTTTCAATTGTCACTCTCCTATGCTTGGCCTACCCCATGGGGCATTAGAACTAGCTTTGAGGTCAGAATTCAGTGTTTAGAAAATCATTTTTTACTTACAACATTTATTTGTGAAGAAAGTAATTTTCTGTTTAACAAGGACTTACTGGATAGCAATTTTTGTTTGTTTGTTTTTGTAATCCTCACCTGAGGATATATTTTCCCCCATTGATTTTGGAGAGAGTGGAAGGGCGGGAGGTGAGGGAGAGACAAAGAGAGAGAGAGAAATATTGATGTGAGAGAGACACATCAATTGGTTGCCTCCAGCATGAGCCCCACTTGGGCCCAGGGATCAAACCCGCATTGGAGGTACATGCCCTTGACCGGAACTTGAATCTGCGACCCTCTGGTCCACAGGCCCATGCTCCAACCACTGAGCAAAACTGGCCAGGGCACATTTATTTTGTATGTATTAAGTTTTAATGGAAAAAAATATCTTTTAGGTCTGAGACATGGAGACCTATTGATATTTGATTATTTGAATGATAATATATTTGTTCAAATATATTTCATTCATGAAAATGCATTTTTCTTATTTATTAAATATATATTATAACTACTAGTCAAAATATCATTTATAAAAAAACATATTTATCCCAGAAAGATAAACCTGAGAGGCATTAGATGCAAATTAAAAGCCCTTGCTGGTCTCATGCTCTATCTGCTAACCTCTCTTAGTGCTTATAAAGCAGGGCTTACATTCCAGACTTGTGTATTAGGCCGTTTTACTTATACCTGCTCTATTGATGAGGCTTTCATTATAGTGTTCCTTGTGGCTTATGAGTTTCCTAAGTAAAATTCATTAGAGGTTGAGCAATGTGGCCTTAAATATCATTGACTATTTTCATTATTCTATTTTTTCCCCCATAGACTGATTGAGATAGCAGAATCTCGTTTTCCAAGATATTTTGATACTGAAGAAAAATTACTTTTGACAAGCAGTAAAGTTCATCTTTATCGGGAGCTCAGCTGTGATGAGGTTCAACAAAGGTATGCCGGTTTAGATTTCAGTATTTTAGTAACACTTTGAAGATTTTTTTGCTGTTTTTAGTTTCTCAGTGAAAAAGATCCCTACATATTAGGTTTATGAGCAATAAAATGATTTCCATATTCTTTATTCACTATGGCCTATTAATTGAAGTATTTCTTTAAAAATGAAAAAAACACAATAAAATGTTTTATATTTAATTAATTAAATGGTGTATTAATTATGTATTGTTTTATTAACAAATTACCCCAAAGTTTAGCAGCTTATGGCTCACTTGGGATTGGAGAACCTTGAAGAATTCCAAGGTCACTCATGTAGATGCTGGAAGGCCTCCCTTCCTTCCTTGATGTTAGCTAGAGGCCTCTGTTCCTCACCCCATGGGCCTCTCCATAGGGCTGTTCACGACACAGCAACTCGCCTCCCCCAGAGTGAGTGATCTGAGAGAGCGGATGGGTGAGAGAGAGCCCAAGGTGAAAGCTGTAGTCTTTTATACCTGCTCTCAGAAATGCCAGGCCATCATTTTATCATATGCTATTGGTCACACAGACCAACCCTAGTACAAGGTGGGAGAGACTCTGTAGGGTATGAATTCGGGGCTATTTTGGAGACTGGCTACCACAAGTAGTTTCACCCTAAAATTGGAGCTTTAGAACTATCAAAGGCTAAGGAATGAAACCATTTTGGTTTATTTCCAAAAGCATGCCCTATGTGTAGAAGAGATGTATATGAAAATAAGTTATGTTTATTGAATACTTGCAATCATCACTGTAACTTAGAAAAGAACAATTTGTTTTTAAGTTGGCTAACCTTTGCAATGCCCTATTTTTAAAAATTATGTCTTAAACTTTTCTACTATTTTACAAATTCTACTTTTACAGGATTGAATCCTTAGAAGAAGAAATTATTTCAAAAGGAGTTAAACTTGTGATTATTGACTCCGTTGCTTCTGTGGTAAGGAAGGAGTTTGATACACAACTTCAGGACAACATGAGAGAAAGGAACAAGTTCTTGGCAAGAGAAGCAGCCTCCTTGAAATATCTGGCTGAGGAATTTTCAATCCCAGTAAGTTTTTCTTTCTCTCTCTTTTTTTCTTTACCATTCTTTTATTATTATTATTATTAAAGTTCACTGACATAATATCAAGGAATATAATTAGAAGGAAATGTAAAACAAAGGACTTTCTAAAGGTACATAGTATAATAGCTAGAGCAAATGTCACCATCTTATTAAATTTATTCTTCTATTGAGGTTATTTCATCCTTTTTACAGTTTGAGCCTGGAACAGGTTTATTTATTTATTGACATACGATATTATACTAGTTTCAAGTGTACAACATAGTGATTAGACACTTACAAAAGTTACAAAGTGATCAGCCCATTACTGTTGGCATGACTTTCAGTGGTGGGAGTTGTGATGAGGAAATCTGAAGATGAGGATATGTTGCAAGGGTTTGCGGTAGTTGAGCTGCAAGATGCAAGTGTTCGCTGAGTTACATTCCTGTTACCCGTGTGTGGGAGAGTCCTGCTTCTTCAGCCTCGCCAACATCTAGTATTGTCAGGCTTTTCAGTCGTAGCCATGCAATATCTCAACAGAAGATAAGAAATTCCTTAAACTGAGATAACAGTTAGTTACGATTTTATCATTTTTAGATTTGTGTTTAGAAAATTAAAATCTTGGATCTTTTTAACATAAAGAATTTGTACCAAGAGTGTTTATGACTTGTGAGATAGAGGGAAGAGAATGTATGTACCAAATTTTGACATTTGTTCTTATCACAAACAAAAATTCAGGGCTTGCATTTCTATGAAAGTCTAATGAACTTTCTCTGATTGTACAATAGGAATCCTAGACTCTAGATATATGTAAATAACCCATCAAAACTCTAGAGTTATTTTTTGCTATTGTGTAATGCTATTGTGTGATTTCCAGGAAATCGTGTAATTTTTGGTTTACTGTCATAATTTTCATATTAATTACTGACAGCAAATACTATAGGAGGTAAGAAAAGTCCTTCAAGTTTTTTTCTTCAGTGCATTTTATTTATTCACTCACATGTAAACTCAGATTATTTTTATTTTTTATTTATTTATTTATTTATTTATTTATTTATTAAAATATATTTTATTGATTTTTTACAGAGAGGAAGGGAGAGAGATAGAGAGTTAGAAACATCGATGAGAGAGAGACATCCATCAGCTGCCTCCTGCACATCTCCCACTGGGGATGTGCCCGCAACCCAGGTACATGCCCTTGACCGGAATCGAACCTGGGACCTTTCAGTCTGCAGGCCGACGCTCTATCCACTGAGCCAAACCGGTTTTGGCAACTCAGATTATTTTTAAAGCTACCCTTTATTCATTCAGGTGGCTGAAACTCACACAGTAGACTAAACCTTTAATTCATCTTTCAGTGATAATACTTCTAGAAAAAATATATCTTTATTTTTTGTAGCTCTTTAAAATTTATAAAACTTTGCTTTTTTGTTGACTAGAGCAAAAAGGTAGAAATAATTTAAAAATTAATGAGTAGGTGATTGGCTAAATTAGTGGTGGTACATCCATATAACAGAATATTGTACCGATATTAAAATGAAGGAGGTAGCCCAGAAATGCATTCACAGTTTTTATAGGAAAGGGCTAGCTCAACTGGCTTGGGTCCTGAAACCAGCATATTCCGAAGAAAGGCCTGTCTTCAGGACTGGTCCTCTACTGGCTCCTGGGAGATGATCTCAGCCACTGGGATATTCTGCCTAGTAAGTGTGTTTTTGTGTGCCTGAGGCCCTGGACCACATAGAACCAGCTGTATTGGGTAGTTTATGCAAAACATGTGATTTATGGTGAGCACCTATGTTACTCTGGGGACTGGAATCTGAATAGCCGAGGTCAGTCATGCAGGCCCTGTGTGCCTTCTGAATGCCCCCCAATAAAAACCATGGACACCAGGGCTCAGGCAAGCTTCCCTGGTTGACATCACTTCACTTTGTTGTCACATCGTTGCTGGGAGAATTAAGTACGTCCATGCAACTCCACTGGGGGATGACACCTGGCAGGTTGTGCCTGGTTTTACCTGGACTTTGCTTATGCTTTTCTCCGCTATGTCAGTTTGTATCTTTCTGCTATAATAAGCCACACACGTGAGTGTACAGCTTTTCTGAGTCCTGTGGGTCCTTCCACAGCGAATCATTGAGCCAGAGAATTGTCTTGGGGACCCCTGCCACACAGAAGCATCAGTAGACATGTGCAAGAATATTTATGGCAGCTCTATTTGTAATTGCTTGAAACAGGCAAAATTTTGTTACTAGTTTTGCCTCAGTCTTAATGTGTTGGTTTTGATAGTTGTACTATGGCTATGTAAGATGTTAACATTAAGAGAAGCTGGGAAAGGGCATATAGGAACTCTCTGTGCTCTTTTTGCAACTGTTTGTTGAGTCTCAAATTATTTTAAAATAAAAATTGAAAAAATGAGAGAGTGAGTTTGGGTGCTTTTATATGCATAAGTTGGTTCTGGAAGCTCATAAAGAAACTCCATTGGTTGCATCTGGGGAAGGAAAATAGGGGCTAAGGATAGTTACATTTGATGCATTGGATCGCATCCATTTAGTCATCCGGTTTATAGATGTTTAATACCTCTTTAATTTAACCACTGCTCTTCATCTTTCAGCAAATCTAGCTCCATTTCTATATATAGTCTATCCTGGATTACTTCCTACTCCTTCAGTGCTGTTACCCTGGTTCCTGTTGTTACTGACTTTGGAATTAAATGTTGGTTTGAACCACAGCCTCTCTGTTTGCTAATTTTATTACCTTGAGTAAGTTATTTATCCTTGCTCCAACTCTTAGTTTCCTATTAGAAAAATGGGGATAATAATATCTGACTCATGGGGTGTGAGGATTAAATGAGATAATGTCTGTAATGTTCTTTGCACAATGTTTGACACATTCAGTAAAAGGTAGCCATTAATGATTAATTTTAGTAGTTACCTCATTCCAGATGGTGTATTTTATCTCTCTTCTCCTAATATATTTTTTCACAAGGCCTCAAGCTCCTCAAAAAGGAAAATCCTGTCTTACTCACTATCATGTCCCTGTAGCTGTTTTGTTGATGGGTATTGTTACTGTCTGGACCCTCCTCTACCTGGCTAACTCATTCTTTTGGATCTCAGACTTTCTCTTTTCCTTTTTAACACCACTCTCAGCAATTGTGTACAAAACTCTGTACTAGGCACTGTGAGATCATAAAGATGAATAAAACATAGTCTTTGCCCTGAAGGCTCTATAAATAATAAGTTTAGGAGACAAATAGCTTTCTGTGGCATAATGGAGAATGAAATAAGTATCTTGTCTACTGTTCTTTTTCTGTTTCCAACAGATATAAGTAGCTTGGTATCCACTTCTCTGTCCTTTCTTGGGACTGTAGATTACACACAGAGAAATAAAGGCAGGTAGCATAGATCTTCATAAGCTCTAGTTAAATTCTTTATTATGTCTAACCTTGCTGTCTATTCTTATTCAGAGAGTGCTTGTTTAGAGATACAGTGGTTAAACTGATCAAGCACAAGCATAATTCCAATGTTGTTGCTAAAAAAAAAATGAAAGTAAGTTGCTGCTCTTAGTCTTTAGATTTACTTTACATATAGTACACAGTGCCTAGATGTGTTTGTAAAATTTTCCAGTTGAAGGTTGTTGCTGATGGCAAATTTCAATTCTCAAGTGAGAAGAGGGATGCAGAGAAATGCAGTGATTTATCTAAGATTGTTCCAGAAGCAATTGCATAATTGAGTATTATCAATTGCTACTTCTCTCCTGGATTATTATTACAATGTCTTAATTGGCCTGGTTATCTTTTTTCCCCCCATAGAGACATACTATTGACCTTAAACAAACAGACAGATATGGTTTTTATTCTGGAACAACAAAGAATTGTGCTTCAAGATATGCTGTTTAATCGCAAACAGCAAACATTCTTTTATAGAGAAAAGGGGAGTTCAGGGGGCTGCTATAAACAAGTAGTCCATTGGAGGAAACTGGGTATTTTAAGGTTAGTGGCTTTTCATTGGCTGAGTGGTTGCTGGGTGAAGAGATTGCCCTTCTTCCTGTTGGGGTAGTAGAGCAGAAAGACATCTTCCTGCCGTAACCGGTTTGGCTCAGTGGATAGAGCATCAGCCTGCGGACTGAAGGGTCCCAGGTTCGATTCCGGTCAAGGGCACGCACCTTGGTTGCGGGCACATCCCCAGTAGGAGGTGTGCAGGAGGCAGCTGATCGGTGTTTCTAACTCTCTATCTCCCTTCCTCTCTGTAAAAAATCAATAAAATATATTTTAAAAAAAAAGACATCTTCCTGTTGAAATGGGAAGTATGTCTCTTCGTGTTTGGGGTAGTTGATGACAAGTGGTAGAGTGTGCAGAGTAGAGCCCCACAGGCCCTCTGAACTCCAATTTAAATAAGGTTTCTTTTTATTAATCTTCACAATATTACTGCTACATAATTTTCCCAGAGTCTGTCTCTCAACACATCCTCTGCTCAGAAGCATTGCATGGTACCATATTTCTTACAGAATATATCTACTAGACTTTAATCACTATGAGGGCAGAGAACTTATCTGTTTGTTCACACTTGTATCCTTTGCATCTAGGAGAGTTCATGGCACATAATAGTTATTTCAGTTAAAATTCATTAAATGATTAAGACTAAATTCCTGATATGATGTTCATGGTTCGCTTCCATCTTGCTCCAACCTACTCTTCCTATCATTTTTCCTCTTCTGTGCAGGCTGCTGGTCTGTCTGTTCCTTTTTATGTTTATTCTAGCTGTGGATGTCCTTTCCTTTCATATATCCCTTTCTAAATTTTACCCTTCTTTCATGTCTGACCGCTCAAGTTTTGTCTCTTTCCTGAGATTTTGGGTCTGCTCTATTTTACCTTTCTTTGTAGTACACACACGTTTTAGCCCCCACCAATTCTGTCTTCTTTTGTAGTATATATGGTCTTGATTTTAAAAAATTAATTTTATTGGGGTGACACTGGTTAATAGGATCACATAGGTTTCAAGTATACATTTCTATGA